AAGAAGATATTGTCATCTTATCATTACTTGTGATTGAATCTATGAAGTAATCTTTAAGCGCGGAGAATAAATTTACACCTTAATTCTCCAAGTTGAAGCTTGAGTCTCTAATTTTCATCAAAATTGGACTTTTAGGGCTTAAGTATGTAAAATCACACCTTAGTGTGTGTTTTTGGGAGTGTTTAATCAAATGGTATGTTCATAGACTGTTTATCTTTTTATCTGATCTTGACACCATGTTATTGTATATTTCTTGCCACGTCGTGGTATGGATTTTATGTCACTTCCCTTCACGATGTTCCTAATTTGTCACTAAAAACAAAGAGCAATCTACTTTCCACCACGTCGTGGCTAAACTCCTCCATGTCGTGGCATCCCAAAGTACATTGTCGTCACTATTTATTTTACATAAGTTAAATCACCATTCTAGGACTACGTCGTGGTCTTACTTGTGTCACATCGTGGTTTAATAAAAAATGTGTTATTTGCACATTTGATCCCATAGCTAGTAATATTTGTACCTTTTATCTCTAAAAGTATTTTTATATTAGGAAGATACATTAATACTCTTACCAAGATCCTATTTATCATTTTTACACATACAATGTCATAATTTTAATACGAGTATTACACGCCAGGATTTCCTTGATATCGACTAACCATGCCCAAAGCATAAGCCACATCAGGGCAAGTATGAGTCATAGAATACATGATCGATCCTATAGTTGAAGCCTATAGGACTCGACTCATCACATCTATTTCTTTATTACTATTAGGACAATGAGTCTTGCTCAACTTGACAATATGATGGATGGGTAAATCCCCTTCCTTGGAATTCTCCATATTGAACCGTTTCAATATTTTCTCCAAGTAAGTACTATGGCTAAGCGCTAACAAATCTCTTTGTCTATTCCTATAAATCCTTATTCCAAGAATGTTCGTTTCATCACCTAGATTCTTCAGAGAGAAACATTTTCCAAGACAAGACTTCACTTCTTGTAAAGTTGGAACATTGTTTCCTATAAGGAGTATGTTGTCAACATACAAAACTAGAAAGTTCTCGACACTCCCACTAGCTCTGACATACACATGAATCATTCTCACATCTCTCTCCCGAATGACTCTTCTTCAAGTTACAAATACCACATTATCAGCGGGTATGTAGAATAAGTATTCTAATGACTTTTGTTAAATATGACTTGAGAACTTGGAGCATTCTTATGGGGAATTTGAGTTTAATAGAGCATCTGGAACATAATGGAGCACTTAGGTTTCATGGATCATGTAACAAAGGAACGAATCATTTGAGAAGGGAATGGATCATCTGACAAAGGAAAGAATCAAGTAACAAAGGAACATATCTTCTACAAGGGGGTATAGAGCACCTTGGTGCATGGATGCGCCATCCATGCTCAATATGTGTCATTCTTGGAACAATGTGCGCCATTTTGAAGCATGGTGCACTATTTAGAAGGATGGTGCACCATTGGGGAACAAGGTGTGTCACTTGTGAAGGAGGATGTTCCACTTAGAAGCAGGATACACCACTCAGAAGTCTTTTGTTCCATTTATGAGGGCGGTACACCATTCTTGAAGGAGATACACTAACCCTTGCACAAGATGTGCCATCATCATGTTAGATGCACCATCTTGATGCAATGTGTGCCACTTGTGTCCTTGAAGAGCCATGGTATCACTTGATGAACCACATATGGTATGAAGTTCTCTATGATGCTCAAGATTGTTGAAGGATGCTCAAAAGGTAAAGATGATCATGGAAGACGCCATCACGTGCCACCATGATGTTTGATGCACCACTAGTGTTCAAGATGCACCACATGTGCATTATGATGCTCCACTATGGGTCATGTTCTCTATCATGTGTGTTGTTGATGCTTATGTGTTCTGTGACATGGATGAATGTTCCAGAAGCTATTGTGTACTGGATTATGATTGGCTAACACCATTCATGGGCCAATGGGCTTTGCCCATTAAGGTTTTAGGTCTGATACCTTCAGTATAAATAGGGATGCATGCTAGTCATTTAATGTGTCTTGAATTCTCGAGTGACACACAAATCTCTATGTAATTTTACTTGTAGCCTCTTTTAGAGAGCTCTGAAATAAACAATACTCCCCTCCTACCCGTAGACACAGGTCACCTTGACCAAACCACGTAAATACTATGTCTTTTATGCTTTTGGTTTTGCTTGTTTTGCATTTTACTTCCATAACCATTGGTATCAGAGTTGTGGTTTGTGTTCTTGTGATTGAAGATGTCTACTCATAAGTTTGATTTGGAGAGGTTCAATGATTCACATGACTTCAGTTTATGGAAGGTGAAGATCATGGCTCCTTTTGTTCAACAAGGATGTGCAGCGACACTAGAAGGAGAGGCAAAACTATCAAAGGATATGGTGGTTGAAAAGAAGGTGTACAGTTTGATGAAGGTACATAGTAACATTTTATTAAGTTTGACAGATGAAGTACCAATAGAGGTCGTAGTTCAAACAACTACTTTTGGACCCTAGGAGAAACTTTGTGACAAGTACTAGAACAACTCTCTGACGAATAGGTTGTATCGTAAACAACCTTTGTACACTCTCAAAATGTCTAGAAGTACCTAAGTGAAAAATTATATGGATAACTTCAATCACATCATCTTGGATCTACAAGGGGTTGATATGAAGATTGAGGATGAAGATTAGGCGCTCATTCTCTTATGTTCTGTTCCGAAATTGTATGAGAGTTTCGTTGATACCATGCTCTACGGTAGGAAAACAATCATTGTGAATGATGTGAAGGATTCTATGGTGTCCAAGGAAGTGAAAAGAAAAGTTTCAGTTGGAGAATAGGTACCTACTTCTGGTTTATTCGTAGGGAAATGAAGGACATAAGAGAGGAAAGGGGGAAATAGAGGGAGATCACCTTCAAACGATGTCTAAAGGTTCATCAAATGCTAAATGTTATAACTGCAAGGAGAAGGATCACTTCAAGTGAATTTGTCCAAGATAAAGAATGGAAATTTCATGAGTGAACCAAGCAGAAATAATAATGCTATTGTGGTTCAGGAGTGTTCTGATGATGGGGACAGTGGTTATTTTTATTTAAAAATAAAATAAAAGTAAAATGTAATAAAAAATTATCATTTCCTGTATTTTTGTTGCATTTTTGTTGCATTTTTGGTGAGGGAAATGAGAGTGTGCTACAAGATGGAATATAAGAATAATATTGTCATTTTCATCATTCAACACAGTCAATTAGATATCAAATAGAACAACCAACTTTCATTCAAAGACAGATACAATCAAACCTTTTGATTCGGTCAACCTCTACTCAATCAACATCCACTACACAGTCTTTTAGTTTTCGGTTTGAATTTCCTAATTTAAGAATCAATTTGAACCTCAAATTTAACATGGGTTGTAAAACTCGCTACTTTTATTAGTTTATATATGACATTATCTCTAAAAGAAGTTAATATAATACACACCATTTTGGCTTTTGTGTAGTGTTATCATACCATGTGAGTATTCATAATAAAACATTTATTGCCTACCCTTAAATTCTTAATATCAATCGATTTTGTAAACAAATTTTATCATTTGGAAAAAGGTTTGGTTGCTATTTTCTAATCAGATGATTAACAATACGACTAAAAATTAAAATTTCATTATTGGGTACATGACTTTACACAAGATCCGATGTCCATCCTCAATTCCTTTGCTTAACGGTCGATTCATCGACTTATAATTAAATATCATGCGAGATTTAAAGATAACTTGAAAAACGGGAGAGTACGTGCCCCGCCAACTTATATTACCATAATCTTTTATCTCTTTTAAGACTAAATTTGATATAGGTAATCACGTGTAAAATACAAATATATATATATATATATATATATATATATATATATATATATATATATATATATATATATATATATATATATATATTTGTGTGTATTTCAAGATCTTTTATGAAATAATATTTTCGGACAAACCATTATCAAAATGCATACTCTTCTGTATGATATGTTTTTTTTAGTGTGACTTAACGCATTAAGTCAGAAATATTTATGACATTCATAAAAAAGAAATATCGAAAAAAAATATGTATATTTTCGGGCAAACCATTATCAAAATGTATATCCTCCTACCCATTTTATTGGTGATATGTATCATATTAATATCTTAAAATATCATTGAATGAACATTAAATGTTAGATATATGTCATCATTTTATATAAGAACAAAAAATAAAAGGATATATATATATATATATATATATATATATATATATATATATATATATATATATATATATATATATATATATATATATATATATATATATATATTTGTGTGTATTTCAAGATCTTTTATGAAATAATATTTTCGGACAAACCATTATCAAAATGCATACTCTTCTGTATGATATGTTTTTTTTAGTGTGACTTAACGCATTAAGTCAGAAATATTTATGACATTCATAAAAAAGAAATATCGAAAAAAAATATGTATATTTTCGGGCAAACCATTATCAAAATGTATATCCTCCTACCCATTTTATTGGTGATATGTATCATATTAATATCTTAAAATATCATTAAATGAACATTAAATGTTAGATATATGTCATTATTTTATATAAGAACAAAAAATAAAACGATTCATATATATATATATATATATATATATATATATATATATATATATATATATATATTATTCCCATGCTAATTATATGTGTATGCTAAGACAGTAGAAATCAGATCGACGTCCCTTAATACTCATATCTTAAAATGAACGAAACTCCAAGCATGTGGCTGAATTGAGCCTTTTAATTTCTTACGTGTTCTAGTGGAATGAAACCATAAAAAGAGGTCAAATCTTGTTAATCTCTCTCCCAATCCCCTGTTCCTTAGAATTATAGGCACGCAACCTACACTACTCGCCCTCTATCTTTGTATTTTTGTGTGCTGGAGGCACAAGAGAGATGGCGAAGAAGCATTATTCGATTGGATTATGGAACATGAAGACCTTGTTCCATTGTAGCGTAGTCATGTTCTTGGTGGGAGGGCTAGCAACTTTAGTCTTTTACAGAAACAATAATCAGGTAGCTGGAAATGTCAACGACGTTAAGGTTACTCTTATCACTAAGACTTCGACTACGCCAGCTAATGAAAATGAAAATATGAATACAGATACAAATAGAATTGTCTCTCATCATCAGAGAAGGCTGAAGATTCCACCACCGTCCTTGTCGTTAACTGATACCTGTGATTTATTCTCCGGTAGATGGGTTCATGATAACAAGAGTCATTACCCTCTGTATAAAGAAGACGAGTGCCCTTATCTCAACGCTGATTTAGCTTGCTTAACATATGGAAGAAAGGATTCAAAGTATCAACAATGGAGGTGGCAACCCCATGGCTGCGACTTCCCTAGGTTGGTTTCTAGCTCTAACTTTTGTATGAAACAGCAATTAATGAATGCTCGATATTACAAACGTTGTAGTGTACGTATCTCTTCCCTTATAATATTTTATTTTCATTTTGTCATCAAATGAATAGGTTCGATGGCAAAGCAATAGTAGAGAGACTAAAGGGCAAAAGGCTATTGTTTGTGGGCGACTCTGTAAACAGAAACCAATGGGATTCGATGATGTGCATGCTCCATTCATCAATCCCAGGGAAAAAGAAGCTTAACATGGGAGGTCTGAATCATACCTTGTACTCCTTCAGGTCCATTGTAAGTCATAAAGTTTTCTTTACCATATTATGCCACAAAAGACTTTCCTTAAATTGCATGCGCAAGTAACTAATTGCTCATTGATACAATACAGGACTACAACATATCAATTGACTACTACTGGGCTCCAATGTTAGTCGAATCTAATGGCGATGATCCATCAAATCATCGCCTTGACCATCGAACTATTCGAATCAATTCCATTGAGAAACATGCTAGGCATTGGGTTGATGCAGATATACTCGTCTTTAATACGTATCTTTGGTGGAGATTACCCATAATAAAGTTCTTGTAAGTTCATATAAGTATCACACTATCAACCCTACAAAACACTCTCATTAGATGCATTGTTTAATATTTGAGGAAACTAACATGTTAGATTTGGTTCTATTTATCAGGAAGAGTCCTGGATCATTGTTGGGTGGTCCTAATCAAGTTTACGATGAAGTAAATAATGTCCGTGCCTACAAGAAGGTTCTTGAAATATGGTCGAAATGGGTACATAGCCATATCGATCCTGCAAAGACCAAGCTGTTTTTCATGGGCCTTACAGCAACTCATTCAAGGTACGACAAAAAAAAACAAAAAAAGACTTGTTTTTTTTTTCTTTACGTTCATTTCCGCATACGAAGTGTTACAAATATAACGTCATTTTGTAGGGCTGCAGACTGGGGAGGCAAGAAGCAAGGAACCTGTTATAAAGAAACCGAACCTGTGATGGATGATCAATTCTGGGAAAGCGGAACCGATCCAAAAATGTTGCAAATATTGGAGGCTTCGTTGAACAAATTGAAAGCCAAGGGGGTGAATGTGCAACTAATGAACATAACACAACTAACACAATGCAGAAAAGATGCACACCCTACAGTGCATAAGAAAATATGGCATCCCTTAACCGATGCTCAAAAGAGAAACCCAGAACGTACTTCAGATTGTACACATTGGTGCCTCCCTGGAGTTCCTGATATTTGGAATGAACTTCTCTTGGCTCACATATTCCCGGTAACAGAAACGGCAAGCCTATATAAACAACGGTAGGATTAATCTAGGGAAATTTTTCCATGATTATTTATGTTTTCTTAACCTTTAGATTCTTATATTTACTTTTTTAAGTTGTTAGCTTTGTTGGATACTCTAAACATGTGTTCATTTTGCTCATTAATGTAACTCGGGCATTAAACCTTCAACTTTTATTCACTAATTAAAATCGTTTCAAGTTTAAGATACAAAGTTTCAAAAGTGATCAACACTTGCGTATATATTGGATATTCACTAAATAACACCCCCTAAGCGCCCCTTCAAATTTTTACACCTCTTCGATGTAGTTATCTGGTCAGAACTGATTCCGCAGGATCGAATCCTAATTGCACGGAACCAAGTGTTTTTTTAATGCCTCGACCTAACATATCTCGAATCAGTAATGACTTTCTGAAGGTTTAATTTCTCAATCATCTATTCTTGGTTGTTTAAAAGTCGTCATCTATATATTATGGATGAATATTTAAAATATATTGTAATCCGTTTAAATCATTTACTAAATTAATTATATATGGAAACTCAAAAATGTACTTTTTTGAAACAAAGAAGATAATCAAACTAAAAGCATCGCCTTTAATTGTTTCATACCAACTTTCTTTTGAACCACAAATTATCAACTAGCAAGGACATGCCATAAGATATAGAAATCCAAAATCAAACCTTGGTCGGTTCACAACACCAATACAATGAATCTACCTTTCTATATTTACATCGACCTTTAATCGATAAAAGCTAAACAGGAAATAGCTTGGACTTTGTCATGAATGAACCTGTGAGATCAAATCGAGTTTCAAACACATTTTTATTTTTGTACCTCCAGATGGACCAAAATTGCACCCCACAACCAGATAGTCCAGATTATTTCATAGATGATGCGGAGCATGTTGAAGATGTCCTCAAAATATTTAGGGACAAATAAGAACATGACAAATGGCATAAAAAAGAAGTTCAACTTTAAATGGATTTAACTTTTGATTCATAAGGAATTTAAAGGCATGTAATACATCATTGAAAAGCTATTGATGTAGACAAAGAAGACATACCCTATGGTTGACCTTCAAATTCCACTGTTTATTTGTACAATATTCGTTTTTATTTTACTCTGATATAAACACAACATGGTCTCAGTTCTCTGCAATTTTCGTTTTTATTGTACTTGATTTAATGAAATAATATTTCTTTTCTTTATTTTCTACTTTTATTTAAGAGGACAATTTAAAGATTTTAATGTCAATTTTGGGCCTCTTCGCACTTCCTTAACCCACTAGCCCAACTCTTCTCTAGTATATTATAGCCCATGATTCTTCAAGATTTCTTCAAATTCGGCCGGTTCACATCCTTTTAATCATCCATAGCTTGAGTACCCGATCGATCAATCAAATTTGTAAGCTTAACTATTGCTTCCATCTTCTTTTGAGTCCAAGGCTCAATTTTTCTTCAATCTTCCGTTCACCAACAAGCAAACTTCTGTATCACACCATCGGCCAATGGCAGAAACACCGAGGTGGACGACGTAACAATGGATCACAGTTAACATATATACTAAATAGTACAACACTTGTAACAACATTACATACTTCTATCAATAGTCGAAAATGACAAAAAAGTATAAAAATGGAGAGTATAAGTACCAACCTTAATTATGAGTATGTGTACTTGTAACCGCACACAAGTGTGTGTGTGTGTGTGTGTGTATTGTTTATGTCGAGTAACTTATTAAGTGTAAGCTCATAAACAATGATATTGTTCATGTAGAGTAACTTATTAAGTGTAAGTTTATAAACAATAACAGTTTGTGTCATATCTTATTAAGTATTTTGTGTACTTAGATAATATGTCGTCACTTATATCATTGTGTGTGTGTTTGAACTGCATACAGTCCTATTTCAACTCATATGAATATCTGCAACGTACGTATAAATCATATTTCAAGTCTATACGAGTATTCTGGTAAAATATAAATCTTATTTCAAGCTTATACGAGTTTCCTGACAATGTATAAATCCTATTTCAATTCTATGAGTCTTTTAGAGTGTACTCTAAGGTCTATCATGACCCTATAACAGTGTTATTTGACTAGATAAAAGCCTTTGTGATGCTCTGCAAAGGGTTGCACATAGAGCATCACTAAGGTGCTGTTTATTTTTTCTAAAAAATCACTTTTGACCTTTTATTGATACGGCACGCAGTACACGCAGAACACTTAGCCCTTGGCAGTGGTTTGTCTTTCAGTAGACTTATGACCTAAAAACTGTTACGCATGTGTTGCGTGGCACAACATTTGACCCTCTGCTTCAAACCTCTTCACACCTTACTTTAACTTATTGCAGCAGTCTCCAGTGGTTAAAAAAACAAACAAACTTTTTATTACATGATGCAGCCGTTTGGTGCCCCTCTTCTGTTACAGAGGGTTCCAGAGGTTAAAAAAACAAACTTCAAGCATTTTCACTTCGAAAACACAAACGACAACTAACACTTCATCATCGTCGTGAGAAAGATAGAAATTGAAGTTATCTCCCATTTTGACTCGTCAGAAAAAGGTTGTAGCTAGCAACCATAGGTGGGGTGTCAACCCGTATAGATCTGTAAACAATGTTCCTCACTCTTTTAAGAGTAACGGTAATAGTATAGGGGCTAATGTCATAAAAGCACTTAATATAACGCCCGTAGATCCGAACTAGTCAATTTAGAGGTAATAGGGGTCGAAAACGACTTTTCGAAAAAAGGTTATTTAGAATAAATAATCTTAAAAAAGTTGTAGAATATGTCACAAGGTTTCCGTACATATAAATAACGCCGAAATCCGAGTTATAATGAAGAAGTTATGACCCGTCGAAGTTTCGCGACGGAATCGGCACGGCACCGGAAAGCGTAAATAGTGAATTTACAATGGAGCAATATTCAGCCTTAGAAATCTAAATGAAAGTTGTAGAATTCGTTAAACTGAGAGCTTCCATAAAAAGAACGCCCAAATCTAACTTCGTATGAGGAAGTTATGATTTTTCGAAGTTTCGGCTTAGCAGTTTACAGCCCGAAATTCGAATATTAGATCGAGCGGTTTTTAGCAGACACAACCTAAATGAGAATCGAAGATCTTTTTAAGAGTAACGTAACGATAAAAAGGTAGATGAAAACGGATGTCGGACGAAGAAGTTATGAATTTTTAACGGACTAAACCTGTTCCGACCTGTTAATAATATAACTTTTAAAATAAAGTCAAAATTAGCCGACGGAGTATAAACAAAAGTTGTAGAATACGTTCCCGCCTTTGCGTGGATATAAAGAATGTGGGAAACGGAGCTCGTATGCAAAAGATACGGATTTTTAAAGTTTAGACTTGAATTTGCGAAGCTTGTTGCTTGATCGATGACGTGGCACAATTTGGACCCTCCATTGCTGACTCGGTACCCGCCTCAGATATGTGACGCATCGCCCCTCGCTACACCCAGCTTCCGAGCTCAGAACACGCGGCGTACTGCTGTCTTCTGCGAACCGAATTAAGCCATGTCTCCCCACCGAAGCTTCGACACATGGTGATCTTATCCGACGAACGCGCCTCATAACCCCTTCGGTACGCCCAACATAGACCGAAGGCTCGCCCTATAAAAGGCAGTGAAGACTGCCGACTTCCTTGCACATTTCCACCTTCTTTCTCTCACTAGTTTCTCTCTCTAAGGCTCCTAACACCCCCCCCCCCCCGCTAAACCCTAGGTAAAACTGTAGCACCCTAGGGAAGCCCCGAGGCTCCCGGAGTCCCGAGAAAAAGGGTCTTTCGGTTTCGAAATGCTGCTCCAAGAGAAGCCCGATTTTCTTTAAAACCCGATATAAGTGAGCTATGTCTATGCAATTTTTAATATAGCTTTCAAATAATTATAGTAATGTTATTAGGTCCTTAAAATAATTATTTGGGATATTATTATGAGTTATATAGATTGTGTTTAACGTTTATATGATAATAATAATAGCTAGACTATTATTTAGTCGCGGTTAATGGTAGACTAAACCCTAGTGATATTGATACTAGGTTTTATCGAGGGATAATTGTTTTGAGGTAACGAAGCGCTATTCAAGTACAGAGTCACCACCTTTCAAGTGAGTGCATAGTCCCTTTCATGAACATGATTTTAATACAAGTATTGATTGAATGTACTAAATATATGTTTATGTGAGAATTATTTGATGTTGTCTGAATTACGTGTTAAAGAACATACCTAGATATTTATAATGATTTAGGTTAATGAGTAAACCTAAAATTTGTAATGAGGGTCATTGGGTAATATCTCCTTATGAGTACGATTGAGATATATATTGGGAATAGAACCCTTAAACATGTCATTGATCCAGAAGCACGGATTAGACATAGTCATTCGTCCCTAGTCTGAGAGTATGGATTGGACCCAGTCAACTGTCGTTAATCCGGGAGTATGGATTAAGACATAGTCAGTTGTCCTTAATTCGGGAGTATGGATTAAGACATAGTCAGTTGTCCTTAGTCCGAGAGTATGGACAAGACATAGTCATCTGTAATTAATCCGGGAGTATGGATTTAAACACAAAACCAATTGTCCCTCATCCAAGAGTATGGAGTAGGTACAATCAAGGACTCAAGAGCATGGATTAGATCCGGAGTAAGAGGAAAAATTTAAAGTCCGGGAGTATGGATAGTCTCGTTGTAAGGACTGACGGGGTGGGGTAAGAGTTGATTATATATATGGGGAAATCGTATATTGTTTGAATTTATATATATATATATATATATATATATATATATATATATATATATATATATATATATATGTTATAACATTGTGGGATTGAAATCCATATGTACTCACCAGGTTTCCCAACCTGACCCACTCAATTTATTTATATCACAAGTATTGATATGGAGTCACATTACACTGAGAGATTAAGGCGATATAAATCACTAGTGATAATGAGTGTAAGTTCTGTTTATACTTATATTTCTGAATTGATAATGACATCCCAAATGTTTTAAAATGAATAAAAACACATTTCTTTGGAAATGCCTTGATAATGTAATTATCATGTTTTTCTGAAAACAAATTCCGCAACGTTTTTCTTAAAAGAGATACTCTGATTTTTATAAAGCATAAACAAAATCGGTCTTTTCTGGCCGTGAAAATGGGGATGTCACA